TTTTTTTTTTTTTTTTTTTTTTTTTTTTTTTTTTTTTTTTTTTTTTTTTCCCTTGCTACGCTTAATCGCCTTAGCGTCATTTTTTTTCACCCCCTTTTGCTCTACCTACCTACTCTACAGAGTACTCCCGTCTTGCTGACCCTTCTCTATGCTTGCTTATAGAAGATGTACTTGTTCCCGAGACCACCCCCCCCCCTTCACTCGCCTGCTTTGGGTCGATCTTTTAATCGGGTTCAACGTCTTTCTGTCAGCAATGAACTAGATCTAACTAAACTCTCAGTATAGTTTTTAACATTTTTTATCTCATCTATGCAACAGATTGAAACACATTTATTTTAAATACTTTACCTCAAATTAATCAATTCCATTATTGGAAAACTCTATGTTATAATTGAAAAAAATCAACTTTTAAGCAATGATATCCGACGTTTGCATATGTGATTATAAGTTTGTACATCTAATAATTGGATTTTACTCTAACCACGGGATTAAGGCTACAAAAATGTTAATTTGATTCTGTGTATACACGTACTGTTCTTTTTCTGTGTTTATCTTTTTTTACAAAAAAAAAAGTAAGCTAACAAAAATTATTATTTTTTTTTTAATGTGTCAATTTTAATCAACAGGAATTTGGGAGGTGGAAGAACCAAACAGAGGTGTAGAAAAGGGTAACCTTGGTCTAGTACTCAAAAGCAAGGCTAAACATGCAGCAATCTCTAAACGTCTTGACAAACCTTTTATATTTGATGATAAACCTTTAATTGTACAGTATGAAGTCATTTTTCAAGATAACCAAATATGTGGAGGGGCCTATTTAAAATTATTATCTGTGGATCCTAAACACAAAGACTTGAGAGATTTTCATGATAAGACTCCTTACACTATCATGTTTGGGCCTGATAAATGTGGAAATGATCAAAAGGTATATTTTACGTGAATGTATTTTGTAATGTCACAATGCCTGATGCATTTAAAACAAAACTGACGTTGCTGTTAAAATTTTCAGTTGCATTTTATCTTTAGACATAAGAATCCATTAAATGGATCATTTGAAGAGAAGCATGCTAAAAAACCCAAAGAAAGATTAGAAGAAATTTTTCAAGATAAGCAACCCCACTTGTATACTTTGATAGTTAAACCAGACAATACTTTTGTGATCAAAGTTGATGACAACGTAGTAAATGAAGGTTCATTGCTTGACGATTTTACCCCACCAGTCAATCCACCACTTGAGATTGAAGATCCTGAAGACAAAAGACCAAAAGACTGGGACGATAGAGAAAAAATACCAGATCCTACTGCTGTTAAGCCAGATGATTGGGATGAAGATGCTCCAGCTCAAATTGTTGACGAGGATAACGAAGCGCCTGATGGCTGGCTAGAGAATGAACCACCATTTATTCCGGATCCAAATTCTGTGAAACCTGAAGACTGGGATGAAGATACAGATGGTGAATGGGAACCATCAAAGATTGAAAACCCAAAGTGCAAAGATGCACCTGGATGCGGTCCTTACCAAAAAAAATTAATTAGCAATCCTCAGTACAAAGGCAAATGGCTTCCACCTCTAATAAATAACCCCAACTACCAAGGAAAATGGAAACCTAGACTTATCCACAATCCAAATTATTATAATGATCAACAACCATTTAAAATGACTCCGATTGTAAGTCTGTCTTCTAGTTAAAATCTTTTCTTAAATTTTATTTTTTTATTTTGCTAATCAATGACATACACTTACAGTATGCTGTTGGTTTCGAACTGTGGTCCATGTCACCTGACATGCTCTTTGACAATATTATAGTCACTGATGATGAATTAGTGGCTAAAACATGGGCTGAAGATACGTTTGAAATTCGCAAACAAAGAATTTCCAGGGAATCGGTAAGTGCTATTACCAAAGTTGCCATAATTAATGAAAAATGTTCAATTTTTTAAATTATATTTAAAAATGTCAATTAGGAAACTTGGTGGGGTAAAATGAGAAGAATGATGAATTACAAACCGGGGTGGTGGTTTGCATATTTAATCTATTGCTCTATCCCTGTTTGTATATACATTTGTTTCCTTATTTCACGTGCTCGAGAGCCGGAGGTACGCGTGATAAAATGAAAAACGTAATTTTTAGTAGTAGATTTGAGCCCTTTTATAAAAGTAATTAAATAAGCTTTGTAATTAAACCAAAAAAATCGTATCCTAATATTGCTTTAGATGTGGGGTCGATAAATTAAATTGAATTAGCACTAAGAGTATGTACTATTACCACACAAAATCAAAAAATCATTAGACAGGTGACATTTTTCTTGCTGTGTGTTGTGTATTTTANAGGATATGTGTGTACGCATGTGTACGTGCCTGCCAGCAGTGTGTAAAAGACGTATACCGTAATTGTTGTTGCCGCAAGGTCTCGGTTACATTATTGGTGATGTTTGTCCGTTTGTGGGCTCGACGCACGCGATTCCATATATATATATACGTATATGAGCTCGAGGACGCGTGGCTGTTGCTCGCGCACACGTGCATATAACACATTCGTCCAATGCTTGGCTGTATAAAGGTGTATTTATTCACATATTAGCATATTGGCACGCGTACAATGCACGTGGTGAAACAACCGAGGCAACAGTGTTCGGGGAAATCATTAATTTTCGATTGAAAACGAAAGCATGGCTTGGCTGACCAAACCCGTGTTTTTCTACTTGCACGATAGACGGGTCGCCCCCTTGTTGCAATGACGCGCGCGTATACGATTACCGATGACTGCGACGAATATAAAGTAATATACATGTATTATGTATACATAGGAGCAACGTGTACTCCTATGTAGCGGTGGAGAAAATTTCAACAATTTTGCCGATAAAAGCAGAGAGAGTATATTTATAGTCGGGACAGAATCTAAAGCAAGCGGGCTCGGATGGATTTCATTAACTCGAGAGTACCTCGCTCTCCCCCCTCGTTTTCGAGATCGCCTCGGAAGAGGCCGATGATGGGCGGCCGCGAAAAAAGGGGGGGGGGGAAATAGGCTACCAACTATAACGCTATGTACATGTATATATATGTACATGAATTCACAGCATTCGCACCCACTTCCGATTAACTATATAATATATACACGTAGGGTGGTGGTGTACCGAAACGTATATACACATATAAACCGAATGAGAATCGACTCGTCGAGTTTTCTCCCATTGTGCGGTAAACTACTGTACGCGGGGTAGGGGCTACATCTCTCTCTCTTTCTGCATCCCCCTAGCATTTCACGGGGGGAAGCTCTCCTGTATACCTACTCTCAATATGAACGGCTGTCCGCGCCAGAGGTTCCTTCACCGTCGATTTCCTCCCCTCTCCGCCCCCCCCCACTTTGCCGTGGAAAGAGATCCGCCGCACAATTACGGCCTGTTAATCAAAGCGCGGTTCCCTCTTGGGTCCTCCCCCCCCCCCACCTTCCAATGCGGGTATATGTATACGCGCGCACCCTGTACACGTAGGTACTTATGTATATATTTTTGCTAGTACTCGGTTTACGTGGGTACATCGCTATCGATATAATCTATTGTTTCGCGCCTTCCCCCCCCCCTCCCTCTTTTTTTTTTTCTCCCGTGGGATCTGGCTATTTTTTTTTAGGCTGCATCTGTGTATATACTTTGCAGCATTTGCTTTTTCTCCGGGAATTTCACGGTGACTGTGACAATAGGAGATACATATAGCTCTCAAGTTTACGCGCGGTTTTTTTTTAAGTAGTATAGGTCAATGATCAGTCGAACCTGATGCTTTTTGCATCCACATCAATCGACAAGACGATGCCACACGAATGAGAGTGCATTAGAGAATAAAGTCGAATTATTGAATGAAGTAGGCACATGTGCTCAGGCAGGAAATGGCAAATTGTCCTCATTGCATCCATATATATAAAGTATAAAGCGCACGAATTCGAAACGAGTGTGGTAACCCCAATGAAAGATATGTTTCTTGGAATGTGATCGATTGGTGCGAAGCAACCCATCCATAAGCTTTTTATATAGGAAGGGAACGAGCAGCCAAAGGTCCATAAGACTCGACAACGGATGCCCTCCGTCCATGGCCGTAAAACGTTTTAATGAAATTCATACGGGCCATAAATCAAGCCCGAACAATTTTCATTTGGTCCGGAGTAGTCGCGAGCCAAATATTTCCAAGCACGTCCTGCCACGGATTGTCACTGGCAGCTATAGATGTACGAAACGGCGTCTCATCCGCGAATACAGATGACGTATCGATTATTTCTCGGTATCGTCGATTATACTCATGTTGCTATTGTTCGACCAATCGAGTGTATTATCACGATGTGTACAGTGTCATTCCCGGCAATGCTCGATCAAACGATATCTGATACGTAAAATTGAGCAAAGTAAAAAAGGAAAGATAATAAATAAATCATACAAGTCAACAATAATGTTCTTACATTGACCACATGGTGGTTTTTTCTTTTTTTTTTTTTTCTTCCTTTTCGTAATATTTTTATGTGTGTGACTTTGAATGTACGGTTGCTCGGAACGGATGGTTCTTTTTTTTTTTAGTTCAATCTCGAACGATAGCATTATTTAAGAGTTCGTGGGAAAAATGGTTGTCACACTAACGTTATCTGATCTGGAAATTTCGTTTAAGCGTTTCGTTACATGAAGGTCCTTGCGCAATATTTGCCAAAATAGTTGTCCTTGAAGCACTGCACTCGAGTGTCTTTTTGGGCAAAGAAAAATATTTGCTTGAAACTTGTAAGCTTTGCCAATTAGCTAAGTAACTGATCGCATACAAGCATGATCCTTACAAGTGTACGGTCAACACTAATAGAAGCCTAGAAGAAAAATCTTTTTAAGCGAAAACGCAAACACGCGTGGCTTTAAGAAAAAATTTTCGAAACGAATAAAATTTTGCCAGCGTGGAACAGTATTGTAAATAAATCCACCAATGATTTAAAGACTTTACGTACTAAAAACCAAATTTTGGCTTCATTACAAAAAAAAAATATTAAAAAATGATTTGGAAGGATAATTGCCTGTTATTTTTCGATACCAAATCACAATAAACGCTTTGTCATTTTATACTTGTCCAACACCTTAATTTAGGGCCAAAAAGCAAAAAAATGTGAGTTTAAATAAACCTTGGGCCCACAGACTCGTCTATACTGCCCCTCCAATACTCTGGAAAATTTCAGGGATTCTCAGAGCTCGTCCAATATCCTTTGACCTGCCCAACGCAGCTGTTTTGTCACTTGCATTCTTTATACCCTCTATTATGCTCTTTCTACACACCCACACCCATATATATGTCTCTTGTGCTATAGCATTCACTCACAATCGTGTGAGTCCTGAACCACACCACCGACGCTTAAGCGACCGCATCACCAAGAGACGTCCAATGGCTACGAGGAGATTGCAAAAATTGCCGCTCAACCCGATTGCTTAATCGTCCGATGCAGCTCGTCCCGGTTACACATTATCTCTCCTCCCAGGGGCTGGACGTGCGATTATATAGTCCGACCGGCTTTTCGACGGCGTCGGACCGAATCTTTTTTTTTCCCTCCGGAAGATTTATATCGGGCAGCGTTTTGCCCGAATAATGGAATTTTTAATGCCAGCTTCGCGCGATGGCGCAAAGGCCGAAATTAAAATTTGGCAAACAACAGCCGCGTCGTAAACACGCGTATCAGAGCCCTTTCTTTTTTTTTTCTCTTTTTTTCTTCCTTCGCGTTTTGGAATTTGAGGTGAACCCGAAATTTATAACGCGAATTCCTTTTTTCACGATCCTCGTGGTTAAGGATTAAGACGTCCAATGGAGGGGAGGGTGTTATCCAGTTATTTACCGCTCGTATTATTTCTCGGAGAATCACCAAGCCCTACAACGTGAAAGTTGTGGGTATAAGATTTTACATTGATAATTTTCGAGGGAAATCGTGCGTATTTTTTTTTTAAATTAATTAAGTCAGATTCTCAAGGAAATCAAGATTCAATTTTGATGTCATATCCTGTGCGGCTTTCACTTGAAAAAAAAATTGGACCATCGATTCCGAAAGATGTATAACGAAACGTAAAGCTCCACTTGAATTTAAGAAAATACCCCCTCCCACGTTCACCAACAGGGAAAACAAGCACACCCAGCGGCTTTTCTAAAAGCAAAAATCACCTCCTCGGCGCTACAAAAGCAAACGTCCAAGTTTTCTTTCTCGAGATCCGCATCATAGGATAAAGAGGCCGATGAGGAGTTGCACACGCACCTCGTTCTCTTTGATTGATCGCCTGCAACTGGCCTGGGAGCCGCGCTGATATTTAGAGGCCCCGAAACAAACAGAGCAGTAAACGAGGGCGTTGGAAAAAAAAAAAAAAAAGGTCCTTGGATTATTCGATAAT